TAAACCCCAAACCCCTAAACCCCTAAATCCTCAACCCTAAACCCCTAACCCCTAAACCCCTAAATCCTCAACCCTAAACCCCTAACCCTAAACCCCTAAATCCCTAAACCCCTAAACCCTGAGGCCCTAAACCCTTGGTTCTATAAGTTTACACTATCTTGAGCGGCTTTATGTGTTCGGTTTGTATGCGCGGGGCCTGATTTTTTGGGGAAACTGCCCTTCCACCATACCGACACAATCGCTAACCCTCCAAAGGTTTTTAAAAAGTTTCAATGCGCCATAGCAGGCATTTGTGATCATTTGGGCTTAGAAATATCAAGCTCTAAGGCGGGTGGGGTTTCTCTAGCGCTTAGGTAAGGATTGTAGGGGAATCTTGAATGTTAGCAGAATCCCTATAAAGCCCATACATACATGACATCATAAATACACCCTGCTTCCACGTCACTGTCCATTTTCTTTTCAATTCGATTCTCCATTGTTGGGGTAATCTCCCTATATAGCCCCTTTAAAGGGACCTAGGGTGTCCATTTCATTTTCCATGTTCTTGTCCATTTGATTCTCCATTATCCAGACTGATTTTCTGTGAAACTCCCCCCTATATAACCCCTTTAGCAGGCCCCCTTATATACTATGCCTATATAACACCAACATACTAAATCCGGCGGCAGGCCTGAGAAAGGCGTGGTGGCCATGACATAGAGGGGGAAGGAGATGTAGACCAAGCCCATGACAATCCTGACGGTTCAAGGTTTTTAATGGTGTAGGGTTAAGGGCTCGGTGTGCATAGGATGTAAAGTTCAGGGCAGCCTCAATGTCTGGAGGCAGCAGGCACTTCCGATATCATGACCCCTGAACAGGCACTAGTCGCAGTCGCATGTGACAGGGAAAGGAACCATCATAATCTTAGTGGTGCTGATGACAGGAGGGCCAATCCAAATTAGTGTAAGGCAAGCGTGTGGTATTACCTGAGGTGCTGGTAGCAAGAGTGGTAGCAGTAGCCATGGTACCGCACTGTACCATTGCAGTAGCCGCCATTACAAAGGTTGATGCGACATACCAGAGATGTGCTGCCCAGGAGCATGATGGCATAGCCGATGAGCTCAACTCGCCAAATGTGCCCCCTGGGAATGCCAAGCACTGGCGTCACCTTCTTCCAGCCGACGCAGGCATGGTACATGAAGATGAACCTGGGTGTTCTCAAACAATAAGAAATCAAGGAATGAGCTGTTCAGATATTTAATGGAGATGGTGGGAACTATATTTGTATGTATATTATGTGTATATATATATACATATATACATATATATATACATATATTGATAGGGTAGGTCATAAGTCCCACTCAGCGAAAGTAACACCAAACCCTCTTCAGCAATTGCAGTACTGGCTGTTGAAGGCACTGGAGGAGGACTTGATCCACAACAACGATCCATGTCCACCCCCGAGGTCTACAAAAATTAGCCTTCCACTAAACTATAAGCCTAACCACATTCATTCCTCCACTAAACCTCTTGTAACTTTCACACCCAGAAACACGGAGAAGATGTAGAAGAAAGACCACAGAGGGTTCTTGAAGATCTGGAATTCCAGGGCCTCAGTTGGGGCTGCTGATCTGTGGGGCCTCTCCAAGATATGGGCACAGCCTATGCATACTGTTGGGGAAAGGGTTTCGGGGCTAGGGTAGATTCCCTTAGGATTGGGTTGGAGTTTAGGGGTTCACCTTTCCCAAACTTCAAGCCCCCTTTAACATATCGCAATATGATACTAGTATATAATGCGGCGGATGTTTACTGGGTGGCAGGGCGAAGCTTGTTATTCAGTAGGGTTGACGGGTGAAAGAAGGGATCTACCTTCAGGATCTGGAGAGGCGTCCGTGACCGTATCCCTAATTCACGGTCTTATTGGCCGAGACTACATTCTTCAAAATCTTGTGAACACATTATTTTAAGCTCGCGGCGTAGATGTCACGCACGCCAACAGGCTCGATGCTGGCGTCCTTGGTCCAGAAGAGGTTCAGGGAGGAGATGCCCCAGAAGTTGATGAGGTACGGAGGCGGCCGGATGTAGTACGGGCCGAACTGGTCGGTGTCGCCGAAGCGGAACTGGAACAAGTGGATGGTCATGAAGGTGAGCAGCATGAGGCCAGAGATGGCCAAGTTCAGGACGCTGACACCCTGGCTCTGCACCAAGGCCAACTTCATGTCCCAAGTTCGCTTCAAGCCCACGAAGACGTGGAGCAACACAGACAGGAGGATGTACTCCTCAACGATGTTGGCTGGAAGGCCAAACCCCGTCCAGTACAGCCGCACATAGAAGTAGCCGTAGCCGTTGAAGTCATCCGGGCCTGCCGCTTAGGCGTAAGAAGGGGTTTGGTGTTTCAGGAGTTGAGGTTTAGGAGCTCGGCTTAGGATGTCAGAGCATGTGTTTTTGAAACGTCCACTGACAAGCACGCGTGGTCCTGCTCTACGGGACCATTTCGTTATAAGGATGCATGAGCATCTTCATGACCAAAGGGCATCTCTTGGGCAAACCTGGCAATTCCAGCCTCTTGATGACCTCCGGGTCCCTAGGGTTTTGGGTTTAGGGTTTAGGGTCCTACTGCAGCTAGTGGCGGCCTTTGAAGACGTGGAGATTGCCAACCGCATGGATGACGATGAAGAGAATCCTGGGATAGTTGGCATAGGGTTTTACAAATAGTAACAAAAGCAATAATAACAGTATTCATGGCAATGGTTGATGGTAATAGTAATAGTGATAGTAAGCGTAATGGTAATCGTAATAGTAATAGTAGTATAATCATACAATCCGGACACTAAGAATATGCAGGGCTTATGAGGCTTTATCACAAGTGCCACAAGGTTTCGGGATTGAGTTATGAATAGCCCCTCAAAGTTTAAACCCTAAACTCTAAACCCTGAACCCTAAATAGTAGTTTCCATTTTCTTTTCCATTATCCCTGTATAATCCCTATATCCCCTATATCTACTTAAGGGCGCCCGCTCAGAAGGTGCTAATCTGCCAAACATCCACACGGAGGCTTTATCAGGGAGCTCACCGTGGATGGAAGAAATCATTAGGGCTTAGTATTTAGTGCTACGGTCCCCAAAATACTGCAAGTATTGGAGTATAGGGTATAGTTACACACAAGATGGCCCAAGATTTCCTCCATTTACAGTTAGTATGGCCAAGACATGTGCTTGCATCTCAGAATTGTCACAACATTCAAGGGACTAGGGAGGGTCATGAAGGGCCACAACTCCGTTTCAAAAACCACTCTTCCCCGACAGCTGTCTGCAATTACGGTTTCCTAATGCTGGACCAACTTTGAATGAAAACAACCCCCAAACCCTAAACCCGACGATAGCACGGAACGTGTTGCAAGCCGGAAAAACTTGTCTGATCATATGCCAGAATCAGCAGGATGGCGCTTCGCGTCAGACCAAGGCGGTCATTGGAGATCTTGATGTTCCTGGCTTTAAGCAACGTCTGGAAGGCAATCTGTGCAGGTAAGCATTAACTAGGGACCCTACATATTCTCCGCGTACTACATTGCTATCAGCAAATGGCGGGCGTCGGAAACACGTCATCGATAACATATTGTTGATGGGAAAAGTGTTTCTGACCCTCAGTATGGCTTACTACCATCAACAAATCCAATCGTTTCCCCGACTTGTTTAGGTGGTTGTCAAAATTATGGCCCCTTTTGGGGTACCCTAAATATTAGGTGCCGTACTATAATAAGGATCCAAAAAGGGACCATGGTTTTGACAACCACCCGTTTAGGTAGTATGCTTCGGGCTTAGGGCCCATGAACGGCTGATCCTTCGAACTTCAAGCAACACAACGTACATGGCTTGCAGGGAATGGAGGAAGGCAAAAGGACACGGAACCCTAAATCCTAAACCCCCATAGTCCCCCTCAAGTAGATAGAACATGGCTTCGGGTATACGGTATATTACAATAAGATCCCCATATACCTCATATTCGGGGGGACTATATGTGGTTTAGGCTTTAGGGTAGGCAATGGGGAATACATATCTGTTGCAGTCCTTACATAGCCCCTCGCCATACTCCATGTAATTCCCTCATTCCTTACTAAGCGCTAGTAGATTATTCTCCTGGCGGGTCCACTGCTGTCCTATGGATGAGCATCTACCAGGTATAAGAACCCCCTGCGCCCAGCACAGTAAGAGGAGCGAATCCTTCATCGCTACTAGCAGAAGTATTACTATGTTGAATACCGTTCTTTCTATTATAAGTACAACTTGCATTACTACTGTCAAAAATTCAGATTGACTGATCTGGGGGCTCTGAAGATTGAGGGCCCACCTACAATGCCCTCTTTGAAGCGTAGCACAAAGAGGGATCCGAGCGTCTTTGCTGAGAAGATTGTGGCGCAGACCTCCTTGGCAGCATGCTGACGTATGGACCGAAGGTTCGGGTACATTTTTAGGAGGACCTCCTACCCTGTAATAGTGGTATAACAGGAATATATGAGGACCCTAATATAGTCCTTATTATCCCTTCTAGTCTAGTGACTTGCTGGCTGGGGGGTCCGCTCTACTTTAGTTGCTAGAACTTTTTGAGCAGTACATTGGCATAGTATTCCTTATCTTTCAAGTTTCTTACATGCTTGTAAAGAACTTGCAGCAATGGGCCCGACTCCAACGCACATGGGATCATGAGGAAGCCTGAAAGAGCGTCTTTCATCTGTCAGACAACGTCCGCAGCAAGATGAAGCGGCCCAGGATTTAGCGCAGGCGCAATTAATGGAAGGCTCTGGTAAGAACATTGTAGCTCTGCATGATTCGTTGGATGGAATCGCGGGTTGCCCGATGCACATGCTCCCTTGGACATACTCTCAGGAATTGAATACTCCAAAAGGACTCAACATGCACCGAATTCCAAAACTGCGGAGACTTCCCAAGGTACCAACACGAACGTGCAACTGCTGGCGCCATCCCCAGTCAAACCCAGCATGAGGGGTGAGTTTGATCATTCAGTCCATCCGCGCGTGCAAAACCACCTTGACCAGTCAGGTCTCCACTGGGCCCTAGACACACTTCAGGCAAACTGCACAATTGCGTAAAAGCACACATGTCTTTGAGAACCTTCTTGCCCACGTCCTGCTCAAAGCAGGGACTGCCAGCGTGATTTCTACGCCAGCCAAAGCCCGTATCACTATGTCAACTATCAGCACCAAAAGAGGAATTCCGCACGATTCAACAATACCATCCTGCTGCTGCTGCCGCTGCAGCCCTTCTTTTGGTTGCTGCTGTATTTTACCCCTAGGGTCCAAGGACCCAAATAACAGGGTTTTAGGACCCAAATACTATACGATTAATGGTATTTGGGCCCTAAACCCCTATTATTTGGGGTGGCGGCTGTGGCGGCGTCAGCCACAATCGTTTGTGTTCTGTCCCGAGTAAATTCATCCACTTCATTTCCCATGTTCCTTTCCATCTTGGTACCAAGTGCAGCCACAGCGCATATAGCACTGCCAGCAGCAGGAACCAGGTCGCATTGAAGTAGGACTTCACATTGATGAGGAGCACACCTGTAAAGACAGAGCAAGTCCTTCGTGCATCTAGGCAGTTGTATCCTAGGCTTGTAGCTTATGAGACCTAAGTAAGGCCAAAACTAGACTTTCAATGCAGTAGGGAAGACACAGATCGTCAAGAAGTGCCTCAGCAATTTCCAAGTGTTGCGATTTCCTGCATGCACGGCAGCTAAAGGCTAAAGGCATCACTGCTACGATCTCTTCTGGTTCTGCGGAAAAGCAGTGAAGGCGTCAACAGAATAAACCGCCACCACTGACTCCACTAGCGTGTGATCTACTGCAATATCCTGTAGTTCTCATGGCCTTAGCTGGCTAGAAACAACATTATGGTGTTTTAATGTGTTTTCAGAGCATCCCTGGACAATGGAATGCCTGGGTTCTCGTCGAGGTCCACGCGCCAGTTGGGCGCCCCGTCCAGGTGCCCCCAGGCCTGGTGGTTCCCGAGCTTGCTGCCCGTGTCCTTCCTGGCGCCAGGACCACACGGACAAACCGATGAACAAGCTGCTAGTGCTTGTGCTGCACTCACAGACCCTTGCGCGGTGCCTGATGGGCCCGCTGGCCTTGGGGGCGGCGCTGGGCGCGGCAGCGGCCACGCCCGAGCCAACGGCGCCGATCACGGAGTCCGGCGCGTACTTGCCGATCACATCTGGCGGATGGATCCTGCAGTCGCCAAACGCATTCACACCGGAGCAAAAAAAAAAAAAGAGGCAATGTGCAACTTCACAACACTCATTGCAGCCTAGGGGCATGTTGAACTCCTCCGTGGCATCCTTTCCGGCAAAGGTGAGGATGGCCAACTCGCCACCCGGGTGATCCGACAAGAAGCTGGTGACGTCAAGCACCTGTCCATCGACCACCACCCAGCAGTCAGTCTTGGTGTTGTGCTTGGCGACTTCCGTCAGGGGGATTCCACCGCCACCGCCGCCGCCTCCACCAGCGGCAGCGGCCACACCACCCCCGCCGCCACCACCACCAATCATTCCGACAACGGAATCAGGAGCGTACTTCCCGATGACATCGGGAGGGTGAATCCTTATTCAAGTGGCAAGCAAGCAAACAAATAGAGCTGCCAGTAGCACGTGCAACTTAAAGGCAGTATATGAGCCGAGTCGCATGTTGAACTCTTCCGTGGCATCCTTTCCGGCGAAGGTGAGAATGGCCAGCTCGCCACCTGGGTGCTCCGACAGGAAGCTGGTGACGTCAAGCACCTGACCATCGACCACCACCCAGCAGTCCGTCTTGGTGTTGTGCTTGGCCACATCGGCCAAGGTGATGCCGCCACCCCCGCCGCCACCGGCCGCGGGCGCCGCTGCTGCTGCGGCAGGTGCTGAGGAGTTCATCTTGTCCTCATAGGAGCCACCAGCAAGCTTGGAGCTCTCAACGGCTCCCGTCAGCCCACCGCCAGTGATCTCCCGGAGGTCCACGTCCTTCATGTCTGCGCCCAACATGTACTTGGCAGCTGCCTTGCCCGCCACGCGGCCGAAGACCACGCAGTCCAGCAAAGAGTTTCCGCCCAAGCGGTTGTTGCCATGCACGCCGCCGGCCACCTCGCCTGCGGCGTAGAGGCCGGGGATCGCCGTGTTGCTCGTGCCGACGCAAGCGGAGTCGGTGTCGACGAGCAGGCCACCCATGCAGTAGTGGATCACTGGGGTGATGATGGCCACGTAGAAGGGCTCATTCTTGACTGCGTCTCCAGGGATGATGTTGTGGAAGAACTTCTTACCGCTGCCCGTCTTGCCACTGGCCTGTCGTGCCATGGCAGTCGCAGGAGTGATCACTGAATCTGCGAGCATGTGCAAACGAAATGCGAATGCAGGCTGCAAGCTATGCAAGCACGTTCCGCCACAACCCCTGCGGCCCTATCTCTCACCCGGTCCGCAGGCCTCGTCCCAGCACTTGCCCGACGGGTAGGCGGGGTACGGGCCGCCGTCAGGGTCCGTCTCCGTCTTCTTTGCCGCCTGGAAGTGCTCCTCATGGGCCTGCTCGATCACCGACAAGGGCACGCCCATGTCCTTCGCCAGGTCAGCACCGCTGCCGTAGAACTTCATGACCTCAGCGCACAGTGAATTCTGTCATGTCAGACACGCAGGCCCTCACTGATGGTAGTGTCCAGAGATGAGGGGCTCCACTTAATCTACCCAACGTCTGGGAAATTCCTCCCAAAGGGGGAACCCCTCTTTCGGAAACTCCCGTTTCAACTCTGATGCGACTGTGTGCCGCACGCCACGCCCTGTGTAGTGCCTCAAGCGCACTGCACGGAGGATGAGAAGCTTGCATTGAGAGATGAGCACGCGGCTTGCAGTGCCAGATGATCTCATCGGAGGCGGCCTTGTTGAGGCAGAGCCTGCAAGAAAAACAACACATCTACTGACTGCTAGCGGAAGGAGAAGTTAAGAAGATGTAACAAGTACAACGTGAGCCTGAATGGCGGCTTGCTCTTCCACATTTCGCCAGTGACGTAGTCACGGCCTGACCAGGGCAGACCGGCTTTGCTGCCGAAACCTGGCTGGATCTGCTGGGGCACAGGCGGCCCAGTTCGTTGCAGAAGCGCTTGCCCTCCGCGTTCAGGATGATGCCGCCCACACCCCGGAGGGCCTAGCAGGACGCAGAAGCAAGAGCATGCTCACGTGCAGGTGATGCGTGTGTGGTGGCCTCGGCAGCGAGGAACTTGATCTTGGCATCCGCGTCGTCCGGCTTCACGAGGCCAGTGGGGTGGACCTGCACCCACTCCAGGTCGATGGTCTTCGCCCCGATCTCCTGCTGCCCATGCACACAGCCGAGAAATAAATACTCTGAAAGACATGAACTGTACGTTGCCTGTGCTGCTGCGCTTCGCTTTGAACATGGCACTCTGGCCTCGCCCATCTTGATGCCGTCGCCGGTGCAGTGCTCACCGTTGGTGGTAGGCAGGTGGAGCAGGTCCGGGCGGTACTTGGCCAGCAACGAGTTCTGGGTGAAGTCCGCGCCGAAGCCACCTCTACCGTAGCAACAAGATCCCCACCTGCTACTGCTTCTGCGGATTCTACTGGCTGGACGCAGCCCGGCCTGAGGCCAGAATCACAGGGCC